CTCTTTACATAAATAAAATTCATGTTGGTAATTCTTCAACTCTCTTTTTTCCTATTCTTGGACTACTTCTTCACCTAAAAGACTCACTTGTTATGTATGTTCCACTTTGAGGTTAACAATAAAATATTAACAGCAGTTTTAGTGCCTTATGAAGGACCTTTTGACTGAAAGGAACAGAACTCCACTCATACTAGCTTGAATGAAAAAAGGAAGCATGGTAAATACATTAAATCAAGGATCATGGTTACCTTAGAGAACTCAAGGGCAGAAAGTAGAGTTAATATTTAGTAGGAACTGGAATCAGGAACCCAGGTAGAAAATACGTCCGTCTGTTTCTCTAGAGGCATATGATCCCTTGTTTCTACTTCCTTAATGTATGAATATTTTATTATTTACACTCTCTGCACATTGGCTTTTTTCTACTTCTCTAGACATATGACAGACATTGCTTTTTCATACTGCCAGTGATAATGCCAGTGGTAGTTTGATAGGGATTGCATTGAATCTATAGATTGCTTTGGGAAGTAGAGTCATTTTCACAATGTTGATTCTTCCAATCCAAGAACATGGTATATCTCTCCATCTGTTTGTATCATCTTTAATTTCTTTCATCAGTGTCTTATAATTTTCTGCATACAGGTCTTTTGTCTCCTTAGGTAGGTTTATTCCTAGATATTTTATTCTTTTTGTTGCAATGGTAAATGGGAGTGTTTTCTTGATTTCACTTTCAGATTTTTCATCATTAGTATATAGGAATGCCAGAGATTTCTGTGCATTAATTTTGTATCCTGCTACTTTACCAAATTCATTGATTAGCTCTAGTAGTTTTCTGGTAGCATCTTTAGGATTCTCTATGTATAGTATCATGTCATCTGCAAACAGTGACAGCTTTACTTCTTCTTTTCCGATTTGGATTCCTTTTATTTCCTTTTCTTCTCTGATTGCTGTGGCTAAAACTTCCAAAACTATGTTGAATAAGAGTGGTGAGAGTGGGCAACCTTGTCTTGTTCCTGACCTTAGTGGAAATGCTTTCAGTTTTTCACCATTGAGGATGATGTTGGCTGTGGGCTTGTCATATATGGCCTTTATTATATTGAGGAAAGTTCCCTCTACCCCTACTTTCTGCAGGGTTTTTATCATAAATGGGTGTTGAATTTTGTCAAAAGCTTTCTCTGCATCTACTGAGATGATCATATGGTTTTTCTCCTTCAGTTTGTTAATATGGTTTATCACATTGATAGATTTGCGTATATTGAAGAATCCTGAAACCCATCATCTTGGCTAGGAGGTCATTTACTTCTTAAAGAGCCTCGTAACCTGAAAGGCTGCAGATGATTTGCCCAAAGCAGCTGGAAAGGACAATGATTTGTTTGAAGATGAATATCCTTGCTCATCAGTTTGGATTTTGTTGTGCAGGGTGCTAGTGTAGTGCTTGGGGGTGGTTGTAAAACTTATGTCTTTAAACATTTTTTAAACCATTTTTCAGAATCTGGGAAGTTTTGCTAAAACCTTTTTTTTTCCAAATCATTTTTATCTCATTATTCCTTTGTGCTGCTACTGATAGCAAGCAAAAAAAGTGATAACAACTTAAATGTACAAAATATGGGATTTGTTGAAATCAACCTAAATGTCCAACAGTGGAGGATTGCATAAATAAAATAGGGTTGCTTTCAAATAGTATGCATCATATGATTCAGTTTTTACTAGAACATCTAGTAGTTGTCACTGAGTAGAAAAATTATAGGTTATGTCTGTGTGTATGTGTCTGTGTGTGTGTAGTTGTCCGCCTTTTCTTATTTTTCTGTCGTAATTTGAATTGCTTTTGTAATGAAAGGAAATAAATAAAACTACAAAAGAAATAATGCAAAAAGATCTAGAATTTTGGGATTTTTTTCTAATTCGTCTTTAATTAATTATAGCCGATCTTGTTTGCCAATGTGTTTGTGGCTTTATAAATTTTGAAAATTGCTCAAAATCAGATTCTATAAAGTCACTGCATATAACATTTGTGCATTATATACATACATTTATAATCCTTTACAACTTGTTTAAACAATTCCTTATTGTTAGAGCTATTTGTAGGCTTCTGTTACCTTCCAATGGTTGGATATTTAGGTTGTTTCAAAATGTCTGATATTCTAAAAAGCACAGAGTAGGATTAATTGGATGAAAATTAGCTATAAAGAACAAAAAGGGCAAGGGGAAAGCCCTCAAAGTCTTTCTTAAATGGCAGAAATGTTTGAGGATATTCTTTTTCAATCAAGTCATTACTTCAACTAACTTGTATTCGGCTAAATCACTTCTGCCAAATTGATTTTACCAAATAGTATGTAACTAAGTAAATTCACGTATAAAATCCCCTAGTATATACTCTTGGAGTCATATCCATGTTACTCGTTACACATGATTGATGTTGTTTGAATGTTTCCACTTGGAAAGACTTACTTTTCTTCTGTGCAGAAAGGACCTAATTAAGGGCTCTGGTGGGGGGATATTATTGGAGCTGCATGGTGGAAGGGGTTACTCTTATCAAGAGTGTGAATAACAAACTGTAGTCAAGAGGGTCTGGAGGCAGGAAGCTAAGTTGGAGGATTTTGCAATAGTTCCAGTAAGTGGTGATGAAACCCTGAAGCAAGGCAGTGTCAGTAAGGGAGAGGGGAGGGGGCAGATTTCCTTTTGAGTTCTACAAGTATAGAATGTATTTCATTCTTTCCCTTTTTTGTTTGCCCTTCAACCTATAGCCACTCAAGTCTTCCAAGCCTTCAAAAGTCATAATTTAAGGACTTGAACTGTGATGAATCCACCTACTACACAAAACGTAGATTAAGAAGCTCAGTGAATGAGCCTGAGAGAGAAGAGAATTGATGAGTTAAGGGCATGACCTGGCTGTGGTTGGTACTTACACCGAGTGCCAGTAGGAAAAAAAAAATGTGTTGGCTTGGCTGGCGTTTCAGCCAGAAAAATAATGAAGAAAAATGGATTACTGTGAACACAGAGAGGCTTTTATGCTTTTGAGACATTAGCGTCACAAAGAGCTTGAGGGCAGAAACCATATCCTATACGTCTTTGTATCCTACCACAGTCAGCATTCTGTAGGCATTTAAATGGTAGAATAAGAGAAAGAAAATACTGGAATGGATTCTGACTTTCCTTGAAGACTGGGAGGGGCCTGCTACCCTTGAACTCTGGATGCAAGACTAGGCCAGGGCTACTTACTCATACTAGACTGTGTAAACTGACTTGATAACAAAGTCTGATTCACAGGTTCTGAGAAGTGAAAGAGGTGTGGCCCTACACAACTATTTTGGTGACTTCATTTAAATGATCGATAGGACTTGTTATGTATATTTTTTGCTACTTAAGAGCTTTGAAAATGCCAGAATCTTACATTTTCTCCCACTTCCATTACTTCATCCATTCCACTCTATAGATTCATAAGCTAGTAACTAACTTGAGAAAACACCCATCACATACTGGGCTTAGTTACAGCTGTAATAGTACCAGAGAAATATATTCCCCAACTTCAGGAGCTTACAATATTGTAAACAAGATGAGACTTGCTTACACTGATTATCTAAGGAACAATGTTATGAGAGAATATATAGAGGAATTATAATTGAAGTATCAAAAGATGTGATTAAGGTCTCTGAAATGAAAGGTTATTGATGAAATCAAATGTGTTATCTCCAATGCACCTGTGAGAGAGTCTAGCTTTGCAAAGTTAGTGACTGGCCAGTATGTGGCTGATTGGGTTGGCTGCAGTATACTAATACCCTTGTGGATTCATGTATCAATTATTCATGGATTTATCTATCTTTGAGGACTGTTCACAACAGAAAGTAGACTCCCCTTTTTGGCAAAATGACAGAGTAGGTATTCTGAAAAACTCTCCTGCTG